GATGGGCAGGCAAGACGACCCTTCTCATCATCATAAAGTACGCTTAATAACGTGGGCTCGCTTTCAGATTGCGAGTCATGAGGCCCAGGACATGGTCTTATCGGGAGCGAACCAATACATTACAATACAGTAATAAAATGCCGGAGTTTTTGTGACCTGGACTATCCCCACCTTTCGTTCCTACCACTGCAACTCCTGTGTAGCTAGGATCTACAGCTTGACCGCCAATAAAATCCAACCATTGAAGGTCAAGTTCGACCCGGGGGAAAGTTAAACTATCATTGGACTCGCAACGAAATTAAAAGAACATAAGGACGAGTTCGAAGTTAGGGTTCGACTTCCCTGCAGTGTAATAAAGCGACATGTTATTAACCATTTAAGTAAAAACGGAGCCTTCTTCACCTCTCTGCAATGTTCATCATTACTGTTTTATCACACATTTAAAACTGCCACGGCTCCAAAAGTCTCCGAGGATAAGGCGAAGAAAATAAAACAGCGCTCTCACAAAGTAATTTTAAAGAATTTACCAGAGTTTAGGCCGTGGAATGTTGATAATTTCCGCCGTCATTTTGTTTAAGGGAACTCTACTAAAGAATTCACCTTTGTCACAACATTTTCCTTTAAATAATATCGCTTGTTGCCCTAAGTGACATTCTTTAAGGCCTTTCACTAAATACGGGTCTATTTTGTATTCGGTTCTTACAAGTACATTTTTTATCTTTTTCATCGTGGCGAGATGGGGCTGCCATTACCACAAAATATAACAGAAGATAAACTTCATACTAAGCGCGCTCGAGCTACGCACTCATTGACACCGCTCACGTACGCGTTATCTGGACTGTCTCGGACGAATGCGAGCGCTATTCTAAGGGAGTCATGTCCCTGTCACCCCCACAGATACAGCTTTTGCGATAAATTTTATGTTTTGCTGACATCATTAGCTGCTGATAGCTGATATGATTAGCTGATAAGAGTTCTATTTAAAATATAATGTGTGCAATATAGTCGAAATTGGTACTTACGACATATTTTTCATTAGACCCTCTCTAGAAATTTCAGGCTGCGACCGCGCCTTGTATGAATTGGACCTCAAATGTCGATTCAAAATCTTGAATCTTGTTGTTTAACCAACTTAAAGTGTGGATGATAATGCTTTTCAATTATGAATGTTACCTAGATACCTACCTATCGCAAATATGATATATTTTATACTTACTTTACTTACTTATTTCAACCGGATCGAGCTAACTGCGTACACAGTAGATAAATCAAACAGTACGGAAGCTTCATACAAACGCTCGAAAGTAGACTCACGCACACAGACGCACGCTTTACACGAGCTCTAAGCGAACCTCGCAGTCCATCCGTCGCGAGTGTCGCGCGCGTTGTGTTTTTAATAATAATTTTATTGCACGCACTGTCCGCTGTATTTTTAAAAAACATGCCACGAGTGTATTGCGTAGTATACGGCTGCTTGAACTCGGCATCTTCAAAACCAGAACTTTCATTTTTTAAACTTCGTAATAATTCGGAATTGTAAAAATGATTAAATATTACTTTTTAAATAAAGTGCTTACATCTGATTTTGTAATAGTTCTTTTTAAATTACGTAATTACGCTTTTTAACAATTTATGTGTTCTATTTGATAAAGTACTAATTTGCTCCGCGCGCTTTTGTACTAAGTGATGAACTGTATTTAAAATGAGGCAATAGCTATGTGAAAGTAAGTATCCGGTATTTTATTTATGAGAATAGAATATCTTCTACCGGCCTCTAATAGTACTTAATCAATTTATTCGATTATGTATTCGATACTAAGTGATGAACTGTATTTAAAATGAGGCAATAGCTATGTGAAAGTAAGTATCCGGTATTTTATTTATGAGAATAGAATATCTTCTACCGGCCTCTAATAGTACTTAATCAATTTATTCGATTATGTATTCGATCATTATAGAACCTAATTAACGTTTTATTTTTTTGTTAACTACTTAGTCAATTAATTTATTCCATTAGGTATTTGATAATTAAAAAACCTAAATAAACGTTTTAATAAATAAGTAAGTCAGAACCTTATTAATTTTATAAAGATTAAGAGTGCCAACCCTAACACTCAGTTGAAGTGTAGGTATTTAACTCGCCGAAAGGGCTAAGTTTCCGTACTGCTTTAGCTCATATCTACTGTGCTGCGTACCTCGCTGGAATGCGACTCTCCCTCGCACTCACCCGCGTGACTCCCTGCATTCGCCCCGTCCATACCAGAACGTCGATGTGACGTTACGGCTGCCAGGTGTGCAGTAACTCGATCGGGTTGTATTAAGGCAGGGGAATCACCAATATCTATACAGATGTAGGTAAATCCCTCAATCGTGTCTGATAACATATTGATATCTAATCAAACCTTGATAATAGCATAGCTTAAGGAAGAACAACAACTTGAGATAACTTGTATAATTTTATGGTCAACGTCGATTTTTCTTACAACTTTTAGTTAAGGTCATAGGAGACTTATCAACTCTGAAATGGATCAACACCGTATCGCCTTCCGTGGCAGCTGTTCCCTTTCGCGCGATGTCATCGCTAGCCGAGGCATTTACGTTACGGCGCGAAAAAGTGTACGAGGTTTCATACAAAGAGTACTGACCGGCTCGAGTTGATACGGTTACGATCTGTTTTTGATATGCACCTTGACACGGCGAAAATTAATTTGAGTCTGCTACATAATGAGGTGTCTAAATCTTGTGCTTTAAATTTAATATCTTGCCTGAAGCAGTTTTGCTCAAGAAATTTTCATTTTGTCCGCTATTTTATGTTTAATTGCTGAGTAAAGCTAATAGTCCAGTCATTTGGTACGAAATATTGGCTTTACCTGGAATGTTTTCCGGAAGTAATGAAGAAATTATTCAAGGTGAGGGGGAAATAAGTTTTTCGGTCAAAACTCATATAGAAGTATACTTTGCGGCACTCCTACGCATAAACTATTGATTTCACAAAAAGGTTATGTAGACATCAAAAATAGGAAATTTTCTCTAGTTTAAGTTTATCTAAGCATGTTTTGTCATAAAATTAATCCGAAAGAAAATGTTTAAGAAAAACTGCTACTAGGCAGTATTTCTCCAATATGGCGGCGCGAGCGGCAACCATACGAGGTCGCAAAGTTGAAATTCGTAAAGAGCACATCGAAATCTATATAAATACCAATTTTCATTACTTTCGGAAAACTTTCCAGGTAAAACTACCAAATGACTGGACTATAAGGCCTGTTGAATTTATGCTTCGAGGGACTGTTTATTTTTGCTGTTACATTAATAAAATCGTTGGTCCTGACTGACTATTAAAACAAACATCTGCTAGACAAGGATTGCTTTGCCGTAGAACCGTATATCCTGGCTACAAAGGAGTTGCTACCTATTGTCTCAAATAAAACTCAATCTTGTTCATTAATATATTTATTATTTGAGTGAATGTTACTATTAGTTACGTTGAAATCCTTATTTTAATCTATATTAAATACAATATTTAAAATATGTCAAAGTGAAATTGTGAACCCCGTCAGTTTATAATATAAGGGTCATTCCATCGTTTCGGGTGTTACGTTCGTACACACATATTCAACAATTTCATGTATTTTGAAATAGTATTTTAATAATGTTAGTGCCTTAATCTGTCCGTTTTTAGTTGTTTTATCTAAATAATAAAGTTTGTACAGCTTAGAATGTAGGATAACGAAAATATGAGTCGAAAAGTGTGCGTTTCGGGCGTTACGAGATTTTGCCTCTATGTTCTGACTGTTGCTGCATTTACTCGAAATTTAGCGAATTTTCTTAAGGAATCATACCTAAAACTTACAGGACTTCTAAAGTATGACATTTACAAACCATGTAACATACAATCACTGTTAAATAAAACGTTTTACTATTTTTTTATAAATTTTTTCTTTGTTTCGGGTGTTACAATGGTTCTGTTTCGGGTGTTACGAGTACGAAAATTCAACGCGTTTTATCGATAAAATCGGTGTTTTATTAGTCTCTAGGTACTACAAAATAAGGAGTACAACAAATAAACACAAATAGAGCGAATTCTGGTTTGAAATTACGAAGCAGCTTTTTTTAAAAAATATACAAAGTTCAAGTTTAATTTTTCCTCAGAATATAGCTTTTTCTATTGTTTTTGGCTTGAAATAGCATTACTTTAATTTCTAATTACGATATTTATTGGAAATGTCAAACATCGACACTTTTTAGCAATACCTTAATTTTAGTGTTAAGTCGACATTTCAAAAAAGTCTTAAATTGAGAAATATGACTCCTTTTCCGATGCCAGCGCTAGTGGGAGGTCAAAGGACCCTCACAGTAATACTTTTTCACTTCTCCAAGCAATATACACACATTATCGACATATAAATAAAAATGTAATACCCGAAACGTTTCGGGTGTTACAGTTTTTAATCAAGAAAGAAACATACTAAATTAGTATCATGCTCAGATATTAGTTAGTATTTGAAATCATTACTACCATGACCTTACTTTTACCAAATATTGTTACCCTAATCCATGTGTAAGGTACAATAATAAAACAAATACCTGTTTTTCTGTTTCGGGTGTTACATCGCCGAAGTAACAAGAAAACACACTTAAAACTTGATGATTATCAATTTTTTTGGGACTATGACGCTATCTACCAATACTATGATAAATACCCTCGAATTATATAGTGGCAAAACGTTTCACAGATTGATAGTTTTTTTTAAATCTTATTACCAATAATTAGAGAAAAAATGATCATTCAGACAGTTGACTTAAGTATAGACTTTGAAGACTAATAACTTAAAAATAACTTGTTTCTTTCAGTTTTTTTTTGTTGCACATTATAATTTGGAATGTTTACTTTCAAAATTCATCAGATTTAATGCGAAAAAAACATATTTAGTTTTTCACCCTCGGTAACATTTGTCATGGAATGACCCATAACGCGTGAGATTGTAAATTAACAGTGGGTTAGGTTAGGTTAGGTTAGATGATAATCTGACGGAATTCATTATTTTATGGCGACATGTACAACAACTTAGCTATCGTAAGGTTTGCAGTGTGAAAATTTCAACAATTTTGTTAATGTAGACGTTTTTTCAGGTGTTTCTTTCATGTCCCTTAGCTCAGGCTTCTCTGTATTCGACTTATAGTCATAAGCGACTCTCCTAGTGACCAGTGTCATCATCTGTTCCAGATCCAAATCGTTGTAGTGTTCCATAAAAATGCTGCAAAGTTCTCTTATGTACCAAGATCCCCCTTCAACATATTTCCAAGCCATGTAATCTGTTAATAAAGAAAAAAGCTTTAACTAATTTGTTTTCAAACTCCTTTTCCACCAAATCTGTGTAAAGAAAAAGAGTACCTAATGCGTATATGCCATCTTAGCCATCGTAAGGTTTGCAATGCGAAAATTTCAATAACTTTGTTAATGTAGATGTTTTTTCAGGTGTCTCTTTCATGCCCGTTAGTTCAGGTGCTTTCAGTGTCTTCGACTTATGGTCGTAAGCGACTCTCCTAGTGACCAGTGTCATCATCTGGTCCAGATCCAAATGGTTGTAGTGATTCATAAAGATCTGGCAAAGTTCTCTTATGTACCAAGATCCCCCTTCAATGTATTTCCAAGCCCTATAATCTGTTAATAAAGAAAAAAACTTTGACTAATTTGTTTTCAAACTCTTTTTCCATCATATCTGTGTAAAGAAAAAAAGTGATGCAAAGATACAAACCAAACGCATGGATGGCTTAGGTCTGTTGTTATCCATAATCTATTATTAACTTATGTAAATAAGAAAAACGTCAATCCTTATTTATTCATTATTGTTACGGTATGGTGTGTTAAATAAAGCAGAAAACAAAAGAGACGTGGAAATAAATCTGAGGTGGAATTGTGTAAAGCAATCGTAATCATTTGACAGTTCATAACGTACGATTATTCTGTCAAACGCTTTGTTTAAATGACTTTATCGTACGTTATGAACTGTCAAGTGATTACGATTGCTTTACACAATTCCACCTCTGATTGGTTATTCAAAACATCTCTTATCTCTGCTTCTTTTTTTCCGCCTTAGTGGAAACCGGGCCTCAAGTTGTTGTGTCTGGTAGAAGCTATATTAGGTACAATTACCTTCTACTGTTGAACGCCCAATAAAAAAATCTACATGTCTGGGCACATGAAGCACCTTGCTGTTTGGTCCATCACAATGCGTCATTTTACCAGGGTCAACCTTCCATCCACGGCACGCCTGAAACCAGTTACAAATGTGTAACTTCGCCACCAGGAATGAACAATAAATCACACACTATAAGATTAGTGCAACATTTTCACCGTCCTTCTGCCGCAAAATCGTCCTGAGTAGGATGAAAAATTGTGTAAAGACGTTGATGGGATAAACTTTGGCTTAATAAATATCTACCTAGCAACTGAAAGCTGTTGCAGCAGAAAAGTTATCAAGTGGCGACCATGGACTAGAAAACGAGTGTAGCCAGACCTCCCATTCGGTGGACCGACGATCTGGTGATGGTCGCGGGAAGTACCAGGCTGAATGTAGGCAGCTCAGGACCGGTCGTTGTAAAAAACCGTGGAAGGCCTTTAACGTTTGGGACGACAAATATCGATCTATCATATTTGGGTATAGTCGTTTAAAAATACCTGAATAAAGAAGAGTTTCGGTTTATGGATCAGAGAAGAGTGCCCATTTTCGAGTAACCAAACCATTTCAGCCAAATAGTAGGTTCTGTCGTAAGCACAAAGTATTCCTCTCTGGAAACCGTGTGTCATGATTGCAACAGCCAGGCATGATGTCTTGCTGTGGTCTTCTTCAGCTTCTGAAATAATATTAGCGAGGTTATTTCCGGGATTAAAATTAATTATAATTTTAGACTTTACTCGCTTCTTTAAAAAGGCTCAAGGTCACCCAAAAGGCAATAGAGCGTGCTATGCTCAGAGTTTCCCTCCGTGACCGAATCAGAAATGAGATCACAAGAAAACCTAAGTGGCCGAATTGCCGAAATAGCTCGCAGAATTGCCTGAATCAAGTGGCAGTGGGCGGGGCGGGCACATGGCTCGTAGAGCTTGCCGCTGGGGCAGAAAAATTCTCGAGTGGCAACCACGGGCCGGAACACGTAGTGTGGCCAGACCCCCACTAGGTGGAGCGACGACTTGGTGAAGGTCGCGGGAAGTAGGTACCTGGATGTGGGCAGCAGTGGACGTCATTGGGCTGAAACGAACGACATTTGACCTTATTCCATTATTTGAATCCAGTTTAATTGTAAAGTTGGCGAAGGGTGATCTCAGATAAAAATAAAGAATACTTGAAGATGAAAAATAGTTATGATATGAAATGCGGAACTCACTAAAGTTGAGTTGCATTGCATGCATCATCTTACTTTAACTTTGACAAACGCCAAAAATCTGTCAAACTCCTTTTTTTTTGGGTTAGACTGTCCCGCTCACGTCAAACTCCATACAAAAAACACCAGTCATTGTCATAGTTACCATAGCTCATATTACTGTGTAGTTACGGTTAAAATAAGTTGGTGCAACTCGGTTTAAGATCATTACTAAACTTACTAGCTTTGATTGTCCTTTTAATCACGTCATACGTTTTATTTTCGTAATAAAAAGGTTTAAATCCAAAAAATGAGAATACTTTTTCCAGTCTGTCATAATCTGCTAAATGGTCAGTTCGCTCATCTGGAGGTTTCTTCCTGAAAATAGATCGGATTTTTTGTTTATAGTCCAGTAGAATTAGCTTTTAAATCGGAAATAATTCCTACAAAAGATTTATTGTTTTAATGGCTTCATTGGTTGCCCATTAAGACTCTCCTAAGTTTTCGACTTCGACGGAGTTGTGCTTAAGTGGTGGGGGCCCCCGAAAGGGGCATTTTTTCGGTTTTCCGGTTATACCGCGTAAAGGACTTACCCTATCAAAAAGTGGTCTTCATGACGGTTGAAGGGCACTTAATCCTGCATTGAATAAGACAAAATTCATATGTTTTGTACAAACCGTTCTCGTGGAGAGGGTCATTAATTATACGTATATTTTCTACTTTGCCGAACTTTAGCGCGAGAATGGTTTGTCCAAAACATATGAATTTGGTCTTATTCAATGCAGGATTAAGTGCCCTTTAACCGTCATAAAGACCACTTTTCGATAGGGTAAGTCCTTTACGCGGTATAACCGGAAAACCGAAAAAACGCCCCTTTCGGGGGCCCCCACCACTTAAGCACAACTCCGTCGAAGTCGAAAACTTAGGAGAGTCTTAATGGGCAACCAATGAAGCCATTAAAGCAAAAAAATCTTTTGTAGGAATTATTTCCGATTTAATCAATTTTTGTGTTTAATTCTACTGGCCTATTAGTGTTTATGTCATGTCATTCACATTTATCTTTTTGTCAGAAACAGCCACTTATATTTTTTCTTCTTTCTAAAATAAAATCTTTTTTCTTTAATATTATTATGAATGTGCAACCATTGCTTGGAAAAAAAGTATGATGTAGGATGTTGGAAGTATAGTAAATAGTATATTATGATTTCTAAAGTACACTCGCCGTTTTGATGATTGTAAAAATAGAACTTACCCATAAAAATCATTTTCTTCGTATTTACTATGGTTAAAGATTAAGATCTCCTTCTTTCCTGACATGTCGTAATACAAACCATCGGGATCGAACTTTATGCTGGAGTCTGGCAATGGCACCGAGCGACTGGCGCTATAATAAGAAATTTATATTATTACGATGAACCTACGGCATTGACATAGGTGATCGAATCAGATATGAGGAGAAAAGGGAAACAAAGTAACCGACATAGCCCGCAGAATTCATCAGGTGAGATACACAGGCCAAGAGCTTCCTCGTTATGGATAAAAAAATACTGATGTCCTTTGGGGCAGAGAAGTTCTCGAGCCCACACCACACGCGTCGCGTTACTGTTGCACAATTAGCAACTGGTTGCTAAAATCTGAATAATCATGCTGGCCATAATAACGAATCGATTGAAACCTCATCAAAGTGGGATGAATAATTTAGGCGCGACGGCGGAACATATTTTGTAAATACAAACATATAGAAATCACTATACTGCTAAAACCGTAACCATAACCCTTATGGTATGGTCGGGTAAAAAAGAAAATTATCAGATCCATGGCTGATTTACAAGTATGTAAAAAGCTTTTTGGTTACTTTACGAAATTAAGTAGATCATGATTTACTTACCTAGGAGGTAAATTACTTTTCTCCGGAAGTAAGTTCGTGGCAGATTTGAAAGGCCCCGCGTCACTCTGAGTTAAATCCATGGTCCGATCCAAAGTAGAAGAACTAATGGACACAATAATAATTATTATTATAGAGATACGGCGTTGGCGAACGACTTTATCAGACTGCTATGACCGACCACACTCCGTTATATTTATACAATGATGACAAATAAGTCGGTCTTATCGCTTCATGATTAAAGCCCTATTTACATGCATCGATTTTTGCAGTGCGGCTAGTCGTTTACCTAATCGCCTTGAATTCTCATAGGTACCCTATTTGTACAGACTTCTGAATCTCCCAAGCGAATAGATCCTCACGGGGCATGGCAACTTTAAACATAAACTTCACGAATTCAAACTAGTTCCGTCTCCTTTTTGCGAGTGTTCCACTGATGATGTCAGTCATGAGCAGTCTGCTCATCATATCTTGTGGGAGTGTGATCTTTGGAAACATGAACGTGATATAATGCTTAATTCAATACAACATACATCTGTTTCCGCAATTTATTACACCGATCTTGTCGCGACAAGGAAAATTTCCGTGATTTTAAGCGATTTTGTGACAAATATTATTGGCAGGTAGTTGCTAATTGCTCATATGATAGGCTTCCTTAATTGATATTTATTGTCCGCGGTGCATAATCTTTTCTTAAAGATTTTAAACCTTTGTTTGTCACCTGTCATCCGCTTTGCAATGGAGGGAAGTCGAACCTTAATTTCTAACTCCTCCTATGTTCTTCTGATTAATTTCGTTGCGGGTCCAATGACAGTTTAACTTTCCCCCGGGACAAACTTGACCTTCATTGGTTGGGTTTTTATGGCGGTCAAGCTGTAGATCCTGGCTATACAGGAGTTGCAGTGGTGGGATAGGACGTCCTCTGCCCCATCTAGGGGACATAGGACCATAAGTCAAGTAAGTCAAGTGGTGGGAACGAGAGGTGGGAATAGTTCCATAAGCGAATAGATGATTTCTATTTACGATTTTAATTAAGTAGGTAGGTACCTAATTGGTTAGGGGGTGGGTATTGGTGGATTTAATATTTGTCTGATCGATTTCATAAATGGTATAGAATCGTCAGAAGTCAGATGCCATCACGACACGACACAACACTCCTGTTTTAAGTTTACCATTCTAAGGCTGGGTTGCACCATCTTACTCTAACTTTGACAAACGTTAAAAATCTGTCAAACTCCATACAAAAAGCACCGGTTATCGTTATAGTTACGGTCAAATTTAGGTGGTGCAACTCACCCTAAGGCTGAGTTGCATCACCTTAACTTTAACCGATGTTTTGGTATGGAGTTGGACTTACTTTTGACGTTTGTTATAGTTAAAGTAAGATGATGCAATCCAGGGTAAATGTATGAAACCGATTCTATTCTGATGCGTAGTGACACAACACGTCAGGCAAATACATATAAATACGCCTGTAGCCCGTGATGTTAATATGCTCTGTGGTCTGTTGTCGACAGGCAAATTGACGATGTTACTTTATTTTGGCATTTGTGCTTTTAGTGACCAGCGCAGCTGTGGCCTACTTAGATCGCTGTGCAGCGAAATCGGCCCATGTAAACGCCGCTTTGCTTTTGACAAGGGCATCGTGTCTGTAGTTTTTGTATAGAATTCCCCTACATACATTCCGTTCTTATCAAACCAGTTTATTAATTAAAAATACAGCTCAAAACAGAAAAAAAGGGTTGTCCTTTAAAAGTTGCTAAAAGGATTTAGGCCCTAAATCTTACAGTACCTACAGTCCTACAATTTTATCAAAATTGACCAAGTTGATTAGTTAGCGAGTTAGATTAGTGTAAGCAGATTTATTTATTTACTAACCATCTTCTAAATTCTAATGTCAAAGTTCTTTTAACCTAATCATGATTCAAGTTGGTAATTATAGATTTTCTGCTTAGAGCAAAAAAATCATGAGAAAAAAATGTCCGGCATCAGAAGTAGTTTTTATGCTGCACTATTTTTCCTCATTTTAGGGATATAAGGTGTCTATCTTAGTCGGGCACTCCTGTCAGAGTGGTCGTGGTTGCGCTGACGAGGTACCCTGTGCAGTGTTCGATGTCGTCTCCAAGGGTATTCTTCTGGCGATGTGCTTCCATTTCTGACGGTTAGAGGTGTTAAGAAATAAATATGTGTCAATACTCAATACGTTTATTGCTTCCTTAATAGTACATTTAAGTGTTACATAGTTATATTTGGAGATCATTAAGGACCCTGTTGGGCGCTTCAAACTAAAAATTTATAAGAGAGGAGGCTTCTTTTTATCATAGATAGAAAATTATAGTTTAGGTACATCGCTAATGAATTTTATCGTCTAAATATTCTTTTATGGTGTAATAGCATTTCGTAGTTAATAGCTTTTTTAGTCCTGTTATGAATTTACTATTATTATTTTCTTTTAATAAATGATCGGGCAATTTGTTGTATATTTTTATGGCCATATTTAAGATAAATTTAGGCGGATGGTTGGTATTTTTAATTTATTTTTATTTCTCAAATTATGTTGTGGACATGATTCTTCGCGTTTGGTAAAAAACTCAAAGTGGGAGCGGACAAATTTACAAATATTTAAAATGTAGATACAAGGCAAAGGTAGAATTTTGTACTTTTGAAAATAAGGTTTACAACTGTCTTTTATTTTTTATTACCTTTACATTTCATTTATTTTTTATTACCTTTAGTTAGAAAAGTTATACATTTATGTACACAGAAGTCAGTTTCTCATAAGATTTAAAATTTGTAAATCAGAGCTCGCTGGCAGAGTAGCTGCAGCACAACAGAGTCTTGACGTAAAATAATTTTCGAAGTGGGGACGGTTATATTTCTAACACTGCAATGTCTGAGTAGGTCGTGTTTTTTATTGAAATAAGGAAGCACGCTATCGAATACTAATAATTTAGTCAGCGTAGATGTAGTCTTTGGTGGCCCTCTGAGAAGAGAATGCGGTGGTGATGAATTTTCGACTGGTCTGAACGCCATTTTGTTGGTGGTTCTCGTCAGCATCTGGCTGATGTCCATCTCGTGGTGGTGTGCTTGCAGAACGTCGCAGAAATCACGCACAAACCAAGATCGGCTATCAACTGACTCGGATATATTTTCTGAAAAAAATGTGAAGTTTATTAACGATGGAAATCATGGAAATTTCATGGCGACCATAGCCCAACGGAACTGGAAACGCTAATCATAAAGGTGGCGTTGGGCATGTTGAATTATGATATACATATACTAGCTTTCCGACCCCGGCTTCGCCCGCGTGGAATTTTTAGTTTATTTATTATATAACCTATGACACTCAGCAATAATGTGGCTTTCACCGTATTGGTGAAATAATTTTTGACATCGGTTCAGTAGATCCCGAGATTACCCCTTATAATTTAACAAATACAAACACACAAACTTTATAATATTAGTAATAACTAATAAATATTTTAAAAAAATTGCCAAGTGTAGGGTTCCGTAGTTGTCCGTCGTTACCACAAGCAATTACTTCATCTAAAGTCACTTTTCATATTTTCTTCTAAGGAATTTTTACTGGTCGCGGCCGCGACTTCGTATGCGTGGATCCCGTTTTACCCCCTTCATCTATCTTACGCGGTTTAGATTTTTTCATACAAATGTTTTTTCCCGCTTACTCCCGTTCCCGTGGGAATTTTGCAATATCCTGTTGTAACTAACATTTAAGTTTACTAAGGTACCTGATGCCAAATTTCAAGCGTCTAACTTAAGCGGTTTACATTTTTCATACAAAAGGATTTTCCCGCTAATTTCCATTCCCGTGGGAATTTCGGGAATTCCTCTACGGTACCTAAGCTACGTCCCTTCCAAATTTCAAGTGCCTACGTTTAGCCGTTTAGGCTGTGCGTTGATATGTCAGTCAGTCAGTTTCTCCTTTTATACAATGTGAGTCACGTTAAAGTGTACATACCTATATGACAATTTTTACTAGACCTATTTATATCGGCAAAAAAGAGGTCAATTTTTGTTTAGAATTTTTTAAATTTTTTAAAGATTTTTTTTTGTTTCAATTACTTATTGTAAAGAAAACGTAATAACTTTTAAACTAAGAGGTAGGGTAGACCGGGGACAATAGTACCATTTTTTGGAAATTGTTCAATATTGAGGAATCTAATGAAATGTAACTTATTCTGTTAGTATGCTGTAAAAACTAGACTCCTAAGCTACAAATTGAAGCATGCAGAGTTGAACTATTCTTTCGAATACTTAATGAAAAACGAGTTTGAACTGTACGATGTCTCATGTTACAATTGACCCCTACAACGGGTCAATTGTACCAATAATATATGAGGCTATAAAAGTCGTTATGTTTATCTAATCATCACCTTTATTGGTATTCTGTACTCTTAATCTCCTACAATCATCATTCTTTATTAATTGAGATCGAAAATATTTAGGAACAAGTATAAAAAATCAACACTAAAGTTTAAAAACAAAACAATAACTTTTCTTCCATAAAAACAAAAAAGCTAACTGTTTCTACATAATATGCCATTTATTTGGCTCGGATATTGCTCCTGAAACAACAATAAGCATAATAACAATGATAGAATAATCAAAACTTAAAAATCTATTTTTGTATGTGGGTACAATTGACCCCTGGTACAATTGACCCTGATTTATTTATACCTACTAATGCTTCGCCCTTTTAAAATGTTTTCATAAGCCTGTTCATAAAGGAATAGATCCGTTGATCCGTGATCCGTACTTTTGACTCTACGTCGAGGCATCTAAAACAAAACGTTCAAATACTTAGCTACTTACTGAATTAAGCTAAAATGTACATATTCAGAAGGGTTTTAGAAACCTATATTGAAATATTTTAAGTAGGCATTTAAGGTACAATCACCTTTTTATCGACATCTACCTACTTATTTAATAAAACCATTAACTATTTTTTCAGTAGGTAGGTATGCCTATAATTATAAAAATATAATTGTAAAAATGTAAAATAACCACGTGAATGTTTTATAATAACTTATTTTATTATATGTATAGGTACTTTAAAACCAATTTAAAATATTAAGTATAAAATAAGGTTCCGGGGGTTAATTGTACCACGGGGTTGATTGTACCGCTACAATTGACCCCATGGAGACTGGTACATTTGTTCCAAGTAGGTAGTCAAGAGAACTTCACCTAAAATTCAGTCATTTTCACGGTGAATGCCAATAATTCGCTGTCGATACAAAGTTTAGAGCCTGGATAAACTATTGACAACAATACTTTGGTAACAAATAGCATATTAGGCAACTTATAGGCTCATATATTTGACATAAAAACTTACTGCGGCTGGGCAAAAAACAAAAATCCTTCCTGTACACCTTCGTTTCTCAGCGCAAGCGCCACCGACTGGTGAGCGGATGGAAACACAAAAAGCGCATATTCTGACGCTATGCACACAATCTAACGTCGCTTGTATTAAGAAATATCGCCGATGGTACTATTGACCCGTGGTACTATTGTACCCGGTCTACCCTACCTATATCCTGATAAAATGAAAACAGTAATAATGCTAAATAACAGACGATACTAAAAAATACATAAAATACGCTGAAAATGCCAACAAATAATAAAAAATGATACTTTGCTTTTAAATTCGTGTTTTTTTGGTTATTTGATAAATGTCTCCTAAAAAATCAAATAATAAAAAAAACACGAATTTAAAAGCAGATTTTTTTTAAAAAGTATCATTTTTTTATTTATTTTTGTCATTTTCAGGATATTTTATATATTTTTTTTAGTATCGTCTGTAATTTAGCATTATTACTGTTTTTTTATCAGGATATAGCTCTTAGTTTAAAAGTTATTAAGTTTTCTTTACAATAAGTAATTGGAAGAAAAAAAAACCTATAAATTAAAAAAAATAAAAAATGACAAAAAAATTTTGACCTCTTTTTTGTCGATAAAAATAGCTGGTCTAGTTTTACCTTAATTCATATGTACACTTTATCGTGACTCACACTGTATTTAGATTATACCTTCCATTATTGAAATCGCTTGAAGGAACTCGACGTGTGAGGCCGTATGGACCAGTCTTCCTGTTCTATTGTCATCAGCTGCTGTTCTTCCAAAAGGGCAGTCTTCAATTTGTCTACCGGATTCAATTGCAGGAATGAAAGTGAATTCAAAGTGCTTCGCCTGAAAAAAAACCGTGCTAGGGTTAGTTCTGGGTTCGAACAGGAGACCAAGCCTGGGTTGTATTATAACTCATTTTTGATGATCTAATAGTAATTTTTACTAATCGTAACTTTGTTAAGAATTTTGACCGATTATAAAAAAAATAGGCTAAACCACTTTTGACTTGTTTTTTGCAGTCAAATATGGTTTTGGCGAATGCCCATGGTCAAAACCACTTCTGTCTGGAAAAAAATCAGTCTAAAGTGATATTGACCAAGGGCATCGGTCAAAACCACTTTTGATTGATCTTTCCAGTCAAAAGTGGTTTTGAAGGGGGTAAAACGGGATCCACGCGTACGAAGTCGCGGGCGGCCGCTAATAATAAATAATAAACGTCGCGTTAAGACCCGTGTCTTACTATTTTAGTTGAAATGGAACGCGAAAGTTTAAAATCTTATAAACTGACGGAGTTCACAATTTCACACTGACATAATCCATGCGAAAAGTGGGTGGTAATAATAATGTACATACCTTAATAAAAAACAGTTTCGGCCTATGAGTTAGAGAAATGTGCGCATTCTCAAATAATTCATAAATATTCTTCAGTTCATAATAACGGTCGTAAGCTCCTAGTTCTCCATTCCAGTTGCCGTGTGTCATGATCACGAAAGCCAAACACGATATCCATGGTTGATCTTTTGTAATTTCTGTAAATTAACAAACTAATGAACAATGGCAGTTTAACTTTCCCCCGGAACAAACTTGACCTTCACTGGTTGGGTTTTTATTGGCGGTCAAGCTGTAGATCCTGGCTACACAGGAGTTGCAGCGGTGGGAACGAGAGGTCCCGTAACTTTTGATAACATTTTGTGAGACGTATATCACTTCACTACACTTCGAAACAACAACAGATTTGTATTATTTCCAATAAACAATAAATTCTAATCATTAAAAGTAAAACATCGACATTGCTTTACGTTCAATTACCCCTTCACAGAATCTTCAATAACCTCACTTTTTTTTTTGCATTCATTTCAAAGTTTCTATTTCGTAACCACTTCGCTTGATAAAAAAAGTTGACATCGGTTACATTACATGATTGTAATTAAAAAAAGAAATTCTTATGAGATATACTTACTTTCATTAATAATGTCTATGATTTCGAGGTAGGTCTTATTTTTATGCTGGATTAATTTGAACCCAAAACTGCTAAACGCATCGTCCAATATTTCAAAGTCTTCTTCAAAACCTCCGTGATCGGGGGGTCGCCTTCTGTAGATATGAGATCTGTTGATAACTTTCTATTCTTATAACCCAATTTGATAATATATTTGCTTCTAAAATAACAGTAACAAAAATATTCCTGATAAGTAACATAATTTAAAAAGTTCGTAATCATGCATCATGCAAAGATACTCGTGCCTACGTCGTTATTATCTACGGATGTACCAAAACAATGTACGAATGACGGCATTAAGCTTAATTCTGTTGCATGTTATGTATTTTTAATAAATGAGTTATTTTGCAACGTCTTATTTGCTGCCACGTGCGTGGGTCGTCCACCAACAAGGTGTACCGACGATATCATAAAGGTAGCAGGAATAAGGCGCTGGACACAGGCCGCTACCAACCGGGGCAACATTGAAAGCATTTGGGGAGGCCTATGTTCAGCAGTGGACGTCCTATGGCCGAGATGATGATGATTTGCAGCCAACTTTAGAATGTACATGGTAGAGTACCAGTTTTATGTTACAGTTACAGTTCGCGATGCCTAAGCTGAGCTTTGCATTTTGTGTGAGTGTAGGTACATGGATAACGGGACTATTCCCACCTCTCGTTCCCACCACTGCAACTCCTGTGTAGCCAGGATCTACAGCTTGACCGCCATAAAAACCCAAACTGTCATCGGACCCGCAACGAAATTAATCAGAAGAACTTAGGAGGAGTTCGAAATTAAGGTTCGACTTCCGAGTTGCTAATTGCTCATAAGATAGGCCCCCTTAATTGATATTTATTGTTCGTGGTGCATAATTAATCTTTTCTTAAAGGTTTTAAACCTTTGTTTGCTTTGTTTGTCACCTGTCATCCGCTTTGCAATGGAGTGTACATGGATAGTGTGAAATTTTTCCATACAAACATAAATTTATGACACGGACGGGTCTTTAAGCGACGTTTATTAATCTACACTAATATTATAAAGAGGAAAACTTTGTTTGTTTGTTTGTTTGGTTGTAATGAATAGGCTCAAAAACTACTGGACCGTTTTTAAAAATTCTTTCACCATTCGAAAGCTACATTATCCACGAATAACATAGGCAAAATTTTATTTTGGAAAAAATAGGGTTCTGTAAAATATGTAGATAATGTAGTCCACGCGCGCGAAGCCGCGGGCGGAAAGCTAGTGAGTTATATTATGCACTCACGACTAGACGCTTAAAAATCTTATAAAATGATTTTGTCTGACGCCCGTATTCACAAACATTACTATGATGAGGTCTCACAGTGCGCTTGGACGCACAGGGTGACACACGAACCAATCACAGAGCTCTATTCCACGCTGTGCGTTCGATTTACTGCTTCAATTAAGCAAGGATCGTTTGTGAATACGGGCGTGACACTGCTTTTGGTGATCACTCACACAAATGCAAAGCTCAGCTAACGCCTCGCGAACTGTCACTTATTGAGTGCTCGTGACTATGATAATTTTAAATACAATATATCACGGACTTCCAATTTTTGTGTCGAGGTGTAGTGTATGATCGGATACCGATGAAGTCTCTATAAAGGCATCTGTCGAAAATAATTTGAAACAGCCAACAGTGAATATTTCTGTGCATGAAAATGGGCACTTACCCATAGAACTTCTTATCATAACGAGTGTTGGTAAAAACTATCATTTCCTTTTTTCCTGACAAGTCGTAAATCGTAGAATCGGGGTCGAACTTTATGGATGAAGGATCATTGGGTTCTTCAGAGCTGCCAGGGTCAGGTGGCACTGGATTCCCAGTTTCCTCACCTGGTCCGGAATTGCTGAAACATATGATTGGCTAAGATATTTTTTCGTCATCATCATTTCAGCATTTTTTTAAATTCAAGAATGCTAGGGCATTCCGATTATTATGATTCAAGAAAAATTTACACAGGGGCTTTATTTGAGTCTTTTATTTCCGTGACACCTTTGTCCCTTTGTCTCATGTTCCCTTCTTGTTTAAATCTAAGATAATAAGTATGTAGGCGATTTGAAGAAGTACGTTTTAAGTACTTTGCATCAGAATAAAATTTAAAAAAAAAAAACGACTTCAAATGCGTGAACACAAATAATATCTATTCAACAAAAAAATAATCGTTCAAATTGGTTCATAATCGGCGGAGATATTGCGTATAAAAAAGTTCATCCCCAATTTTCCACCCTTGGGGGTTGTTTTTTTTATTATTAAATTTAAATGGGACCACCCTTGAAGTATTACCTATACGCCGAAAAAAGATTTGTTCAAATCGGTTCTTAATTGGCGGAGTTTTCGCGTAACAAACATAGAAAAAAAAAACATACGGGTCGAATTGAGAACCTCCTCCTTTTTTTGAAGTCGGTTGAAAATGGATGTAGATTGTAGGTATATCAAAGTCAAAGTCAAAATCAAAATGTCTTTATTTGTTTAGACTAATAAATAGTTCTTACAAATCGTAATTTTGCTCTACATGACTCATAATCTTTTTACCCTACCATACCAGCGCTTCGAGACCAACATTTGGCAAGTGCTGAGAAGAAGCGCCGCAACAAACTCAGTCACCACTGTCTGCCGGTTAATATAAATAAATAGAAATAGCAGTAGTAGGTACATTCGATTCAGGAGCAGTTCACTGAATTTACCATGCATTCTTGTATGAATGATGTCATTAACAGATTTTTAATGGCCCTATCATCCACTGATAAGAATTTTCCTGACTGCCTAAGTTACTGAGCATATCCACGCATATCCTTCTATCTTTACATAGTATAAAACAAAGTCGCTCCCCAATGTAAGTATTTGTTCTCAGATCTTTTAAACTACCTACGCAATGGATTTTAATTTCAGCATTCGTGTGAAGTTGGGGCGTGTCGCCAGGTATAATGCAAATTTTATTGCAAAATATGTACATTTATTTATTAATATTTATTAGGAATAACCACAGCCTAGTTAACAAAATCTGTGTATTTTCTGAAATTCAGCTTTTTCTTACTTATACAGGGTGTTAGGTAAATGGGTATATGAGCCGACACTAGCCCATGTTAACATGGTCATATAAATGGTATGGTGAGGTCAGAAAATTGATATCTTCATTTTAATTATTTTATTTTTCATACAAATCGGATTTTATAAAATTTATTTTGTATGAAAATTAAAAAAATAAAATGATGATATCAAATTTCTGACTTCACCATACCATTTATATGCCCATGTTAACATGGGCTAGTGTCCGCACATATACCCATTTACCTAACACCCTGTATAAACCCTACTAATCGGTATCCTCAAGTGTTGATGACGTTTCGTTACGTTCCTAACAGCTTTAATAACCTTCATGTTCGGTTCAACCATGGATTTAAACAAAAATCAGTGATGATAACTACTGTCTTTTGGGAGGACATTTACATAAATTGAGGTACATATTTGAGTGCGTAACTTTCTGACAGAAAGTTTCTATGTCTATTATTCAACAGAAATATCATAACACGAATCGCCATTTAAGGCAGGTGAAGTGACTATGAATATTGTACTTACTTAATAAGGTTAGTAGGTATATTGAACGGTAAAGCGTCACTCGTACTGTAACCACTGTGACTTGGGTTACTCATGTCCATATTTTCTATTATTTTATCCTTAACTTATGCACAATTTAAAGTTTTTTATTTACACAATTGACACTTGGACCTAACGCGTTGTGCCGTCAAAATTCGCTTTTGCACTGATACGAGTGTACGGCAAACCAGTAGTACTTAGTCCATGATAAGCCAAGCGTCGCTTTATCGTACGTTTAGTAGGTATATTATTAATAATAATACATTTTTTGTTGCCATACATTGATCACAGTGCCACCTCAACACAGAAATAAACACAGCAGACAAGAATATTAACTTCACATTCGTAAAGAGGAAATTTTGAGAATATTCCTATTCATATACTTACAGTGGCGGAAACTTTTAACCACCCATAGAATTAGTAGTTTGTAAATAACGCTGTAATTTTTACTAAAATGTGACATGGTACAGTTGACATGTTTTTAAAAAAAATAACAACAAAAATTTAAGATAAATATTGAAACCATTTGTAAAGCCAGTTCTCAATTCGACCCGTATGCTTTTTTTTTCTATGTTTGTTACGCGATAACTCCGCCAATTATGAACCAAGCCAATTTGAACAAATCTTTTTTCGGCGTATAGGTAATACCTCAAGGGTGGTCCCATTTAAATTTAATAATAAAAAAAGCAACCCCCAAGGGTGGAAAATTGGGGATGAACTTTTTTATACGCAATATCTCCGCCGATTATGAATCAATTTGAACGATTATTTTTTTGTTGAATAGGTATTATCAAATTTTTTTAATTTTTAGTTTTTTTTGTGTTCACGCATTTGAATTTTGAAGTCGGTTATATTTAAAAAAAAAAAGTTATGTGTTCTAAAGTGTAGTGAAGTGTTAAATGCGCGAATATCGGAAGAGGGTGAGCCAAACACTGGTAGAGCCATTTTGAGAGTACCTACGAATCCGGCCACATAGGATCTTAATTATGAAAGCTACATACTTTTTGTATGTAGGTAATTGTTTTTTTGAATTTTCGATTGTTTTCAATGCGCTGTGTTTTACTCAAAGTTTCCTTTTCGAATTAAAACACCAAGATTTTGGTACTCAAATCTTATGCCGATAAATCTGAAATTTTCGCTCCATTTCCGAGAGTCGATACTTCAATTTGGCCAGAATGTTGCCATGTCAAATTTTGCAGCGTCGTGGGAATAATAAAAGACGTGGCGTAGGTATGAGCTACGTTAATAAGGCAGCGAGTATTACATGCTCACCGTCTACTAACCTTGTATATTGAATATTAATATCCTCAAAAATGACTATAAAAGATGAGGCCAAAAGGTTTTTATGCAATCTTTTTCTACCATTCTAAGCTCAGCAACAATACTGTCTTCGAGATCATAATAAGAAATAGCAGACTGATATGAGTCATTTAATTAAGAAAAAAAATAGTTAAATAGACCTCCATAGATTTTCCGATAACATTTATCTTAAATATAGCTAAGGCTCAAAAAAGACAAAATAAAGGACCGTTTATAAGTGATTTAAGTGTTTTATTGGAAACAGAAAAAGACACGAAAAACAAAAACAATCACCCACTTATTTAATTTTGATATAAGTTACAATTATTCGTAATACAATTTAGTTTTTAATAAATTAAAATTAATACAATTCTGATTATACAGTATACTGATAAACAGATGATCTATGTCACAATTAATACTAAGTGTTTAATTTGTCGTCCTTATTAAAGACGGAACTTTACTTATAAAACCTACCAAATGGACAATATTATGTAGTAAATTAATAATCATTGGGGGAGGCCATAAGTTCATCCGTGGACGTCCTGTGGCTAAAATGATGATCATTTTAAAGAATAATGTTTATTATAAAAATATTATTTTGCGCCACTTTGACCATAATCCAAGCTCATTGTTCAACCGCATTATTCAGTACTGACTGGCAACACTGGCAAGTTGTTAGATGGATTTTATTTCCTTATTTGCTGTCTCATTTAAAATAAAAATGTCATTTAAAAAAACCATCAAGTTTACACTGTTCCTGGTTCACACATAGTCCAGTCAATAAAGAGGGAAATACGCGGAACACAATTTCTGACCTCGGGACTTTATTTAGACTAGTTAGGAGGTGAACATAGCAAAAGTCCCCGGTACCCGCCCTTAGCCCTTGAGCCCGTGGGGAGAGGGGGGTTTAAATTACTATTTTTCAGTTTTTAGCTTAATCCTCGGAAACTATACGTCCTAGTGACATGACTGTTATAAACCAAAAAGAAAGCTTATTAAATTTGCTACCGGTGACATGTCAAGTTTTTCTATATCTAGTATAGTTTTCGAGGCATCTGTTCTAAAAGTCTGTAATATTGGAAATTTTAATTTTTGTCTTACATAATACATATTCCCATTATGAGGAAATCGATTAAATCAACATTGAGCAAACATTCTAGACATTTTGTATAGAATATGGTCATCCTTTAGTCTATCATCTTCTTAAGTTTCGCACGCTCTTTTTGGGACACCCTGTACTATCGGCAACAGTGTTAGCTGCCCATTGCCAGTCATGTCATCTCGTTCTATCGCAAAGAATCGCCATTTGATTAGAGCGAGAGCAAAAACGGAAATGGATAGTTAACAGTGTGGCCGTGTGTACATAGTTAATAATAAGTTAAAAAACATAATAATATTATAATACAATACCAATATAATAATAATATAATACCGACTAAAATCACCCTTCTCAGTAGACTCTGGGTCTAAAGAAGCCTGACGTAACGGGAGTTACGTCAGAATGTGACTCGACTTTTAATCCCATATCAAGGGTTGGGGAATATCACGTCATAATGTCACTCGTCACACGTTTCTACAGTTAATTAAAGTGTAAAAAAAATCTGCAGTGCATTTAAAAAAAATATTCAGTTAAAATTTTAAATATTTTAAGTCTTATCTTTGACTGTGCAGTCAACATCAAATAGATGGACACCCAAAGTAGCCCAAAATTTCGCAACACGTCTTCGTTACAATAAATGATAGGGCCCAAAAGATAAGGCGACATGTAAAGTGCCCCATATGATAAAGGCTACCTTTTATTATTTACTACTACTCGTTGCTTTCCGCCCGCGGCTTCGCCCGCGTGTAATTTTGTCTGTCACAGAAAAACTGTTTCAAAAACCGGGATAAAAACTATCCTATGTCCTGTCCCGGGACTCAAATTATCTCTATGCCAAATTTCATCAAAATCGGTTCAGTGGTTTAGGCGTGAAAGAGAGACAGGCAGACAGACAGAGTTACTTTCGCATTTATAATATTAGTATAGATATAGATATTTTGACGTTCATAAGTGCCACCTGTGGTCTAAATTAGAGATGAAACGGATAGTTGTTTGGCCGGATACCGGATACCGGATATCCGGCCAGCTGCTAGGCCGGATAGCCGGATATCCGGCGGCCAGATAGTTGGCCCATTGTCTCGTTGCATGTCGTGACGAGTTTAGCGCCGCACAGGTGCTTCGAACGCGATCAGTGGGTCTATTAGTAGATTAGACTAGTCACACTTTTTGAAAATCGAATCCGTCCGAATAGAATGTCAAATTTTTCCACTTGTCTAGGGGGCAGATCAATTCGAGCGACTTCGGTTGCCATCGTGAGTGTGTGATTGAATAGCGAAAATTAAATTAGTTTAGGTACTTGCTGCGTAATCTGACTGAACAGCATCATGTCATCAGACCATCAGTGAAAAAAAGATCGCCTATTTTATTTGGCAACTAGTTTGGCAATATTTCAACATTTAGCTTAGACCATCGATTTTTCCTCGGCCGATAGTTTAGTCGGGTAGTTGATCAGTATGGGCATGTATGGAAGTGCGCACACTACACCGATTTGATTTGGCCGATTCTTTATACAATTTAAAAACGGGCACAACTATCGGTCAACTAAAAATCAGTGGTTTGCGCCCAGTCTAAGAGTAGGCGCACACCGTTGATTTTTCGTCGGCCGATAGTGCAGTTGGGTTGGGCTCTCAGTGCGCACACTGATTCAACTAAACAGTTGTATCGGGCGTGGGTGCGCAGACCGATTGCTTCATTCGATAGAAAGCTGTTGAAGAGATCAGTCGCGTGGAATGTTTCCTAGAAATATTACATTTTTTTTATACTTAACTAACTCATACATGCGGCTTCACCTGCATGAAATTCAGTTTGATACAACAAAGAAAAAAAGTTTAATAAAAATTAGTAGGACATGAAAGGGAAATCATCATATCATGAAAAAGTGAAATCGAGAGTAATAACTACTTAAATCAATTAATTAGTAATAAATTACCTAGTTCGGTAATCTTTTATGATAACGACCTTTCCCGCCAAAAACGCGGAGCAAACTGAAGCTATCGGCCAAGTTGGACGACGAAAAGTCGGCCAGTGTGCGCGCGTAGAAGAACGCCGTAGTACTGATCAAGCTATCGACCGATAGTTGGACGATACTTTAGTTGGAAGGCAGTTGGGAATCGTATTCAACTATTTAGTCGGCCAAATCGAATCGGCGTAGTGTGCGCACTCCCATAAATGCTCATACTGATCAACTGCCCGACTAAACTATCGGCCGACGAAAAATCAACGGTGTGCGCCTTCTCTAACAGATATTTACTATTTTTGTATTCGTCATTAGAGTAAATAGCCCAGAAAAAGAAATTGGTTTTTTGAAAGGCCTTAATATGGCTTTTTTGTAACTTTTTGTACTTTAATTATAAGCCGTCATTATTATAAGCCATTTTTATTGATATTTACCTCAAAGATTAATGTATTTCATTTTATTAATAGGAAATTGTCGTAGTTTTTTAATATCCGGTATCCGGCCGGATAGTGAGTTACTATCCGGTATCCGGCCGGATAGTAAATTTAGGCCGGATATCCGGCCTACCGGATAGTTGCCGGATATCCGTTTCATCTCTAGTCTAAATTGAATAAAATATTTTTGATTTTAATTTGATTTAAATAAGAATAAGGTTGTGTTATCAACTTTTTGGCCACTTTAGACCTCTTTGGCCATGAACTATTTTTTGTACTAGTACGTACTTTTCTGATGTATGTTATGTATATTGTCTTCCCTTTTTCTTTTAAACTATGCTAATAAGTGCTAAATCGCAATAGCTTTGTCAAAGTAAATCTCGTCTCCGGTGTCTGTTTCTTCTTGTCAAACTTAGCGTCTTTTGGCACGTTTGACGAATGACCTAACGCCACATTCCTGGTGACCAGGGTGAGCATGTGAAGAAGATCCATCTGCTCGTGGTGGGTCCATATCACCTCGCAAAGTTCTTGGAAGAACCAAGAGCCGCCGATGTCTCGCCAAGATATGTGATCTGAAAGCGTGTAATATACGTTAGCGTCGTCTGTGAGTCTTTTGTAGTTTAAAGGACGAAACACACATCAACCTGGAAACGTATCGTAACCGTATCTCTAAACGCCTCGCCTCGGTTGACCGCGCGGCCGCGGCGAAAAGTACGAATAGATACGGTGTTGATCCCTTTCCGGGTTGAGAAATGTCCTATGACCTTAAAAGTTACTAATTTACTACCCTCATCAACTCAATAGTCCATCAACTCAAGGGGATCAACAAAACATAGCATGTACCTAAGCTATGATTGTTGGATCTCTCTTATTGTACGAGTCAACTCGCACATTTTTATTACTAAGTAATTTATTGTTAACTTGCATTTTATTTATGCACTTTGGCCAGCTACGCCTGACCTACATTTGGGACTTTAGTAGTTCTAACATTTTATAATCAGTGCAATAAAGTATTCGGCAGCTAAAACACGTCTTTCAATAAATCCCATCAGCGGTTGATACGGCGTAGTTGTCTGACATCTTGACATCAGTCTTACTTTGACACCACATCTTACACTTATTTCACGTTTGGTAGCCGACTGTATCCATTAGCAGACTGCATTCAAACGCCCTTTGAGCTAAGAACTTCCGAAGTTAAATAAACTGTGAGCACACTATAGACTAACTAAAATCGTAAAAGTGCCAAAGACAAAAAAGTAATATATTGCACTGCCCTTACAGATAAAATTGATCTTCATCATCATCATCTCAGCCATAGGACGTCCACTGCTGAACATATGCCTCCCCCAATGCTTTCCATGTTGCCCGGTTGGTAGGGCTTGCGTCCTGCTACCTTTATGATGTCATCGGTCCACCTTGTGGGTGGACGTCCCACGCTGCGTTTTCCGGTACGCGGCCTCCACTCCAGAACCTTGCTGCCCCATCGGCCGTCAGTTCTGCGTGCTATGGAGAGGGCTATGCTCGGTGTTTCTTTACGAGATCGAATCAGAAATGAGGAAATCCGTAAACGAACTAAAGTCGCTGACATATTGGCCCGACGGATTGGCGAGCTGAAGTGGCAATGGGCAGGGCACATAGTACGCAGAAATTTAATCTAAACCACCAAAAACTTGTCAGATTTTACCTTCTACCGTGGAACACGCCACAAGGAAATCAATGTGTGTAGGCACATGGAGTGTGTTATCTTCGTCTCCATCGAACTGGATCGTTCTGCCAGGATCCGCCAATTCCCCTCGACATGCCTGGAAATATCAAATGAAATCTTTAGCTGGTGCTGCAGCTGTCAAGAATTTTTCATGTATTTGTGGAAATGTAATAATGCTGGTAGTATCGGCAGGCCTCCCACTAGGTGGACCGACGATTTGGTGAAGGTCGCGGGCGGTGCCTAAAACGAATTTTAACGAAATGAAAATCATCACTTTCCATCAGGTGACCCATCCAGCAATGCCGTATATCCATCATCTTTGTGAATATAAGGCATTGCCTTTTTATGTTTTGACTATGTTTGGTTTTCTTTTTTTTATACCTTTCATTTATTTAGTTTGATACACTTACAAAACTATCTAGTTTTGTGAGTGTATGGGAGAAAATTACATTCTATGGCCAAAGACGCAAGTATACAACTCACTATAGACACACTCATAATTATCATAATTGGATGGAAAACCAAATTTTGGGAAATAGCACGAATTCATCAACTTAGATCCCAGTGTTTAGCTAGATTCAATTCAACTATAACTGTAAATTATTAAGGACTGACCTGAATGAAGAAAATTTTAGGCTTGTTGACGAGTGAAGCGTCTCCACCTTCGAACATGTTGGTGATGTCTTTCAGCTGGTAGGGCCTGTCTGCTGCGAACAGCTCCCCGTTCTTGTCGCCATGAGTCATGATGGCCACGGCCAGGCATGACGTCAAGCTATGATCTTGCTTGGAAACTGGAAATACAATGATAATTTTACACCAAAGCTTCAACCACACCAACGCGGTGCCATCATAGGACAATGACAGGTTGCGCGACCCATGGACAATCCGCGCGACATGTCATTGACCTATGATCGCGCCGGCGCACGGTGGATCGTGCCCATACAAGGTGTTGGACATGGTGCTTTAAATGCAACTACTTAAAACAAGATTGATTTGCATATAAATTGAAAGATGAGACTTCATTCTATCAAATATCACTAATATCAAGTCATGATCTACTATCATAGTTATGTGGTGCGACCGTAAAGTGAACAAAGTCAAAATCATGGATTTTCTGACTTCTGTTTGTATTGTCAATTTATCCAATTTCGTTCACTGGTTTTATGTTATTACTTATTAATGTATTAGCTTATACCTTTATCTTAATCTGTGTGTTAAAATGAGTGCCTAAAAAACTTCTAGCTTGGCTATTTTGACGTATTTTTAAAAGGTATTTTTTTAAANCTTAATGAGAATAAATTTAGAGTATTGTTAGATTATGTATCTAACAGTTAACAGAATATGAAATCAAGCTCGACAAAATCGAACAAAGTGATTGTGTGCAATGAAAAATCAGGCGTTTACAAAAATATTTCTTTAATAATTTTAACACTTAATGAGAATAAATTTAGAGTATTGTTAGACTATGTTACTCTTTAAATATGGAAACAGACCAAAATGAGTGAGTATTTGCTTTTAATTGAACAATAAATACAAGTTTTGCATCACTATATTTTAAGAATTTTTTTCACTTATATTAATTGCCATCTAATAAGTAAAATCTATCACATTAGAAAGATAAACTTGTCAACCTTACACTGTAAAAATTTGAAGTTACTACGTTGACGCAATCTCATTTTATTTTAAAAACACTGAGTAAGGAAGCGATGTCCAACGCTTTGTATGGGCTCGATCCAGTGTGCGGCGATGGCGATGTGCACACGTTGGTGTGGTTGAAGCATTTAGAGGAAAAATTAAGGCGAAATGAAAAAAAAAAAGTTTTTCTAAAATCTATTGCTGTCGTGCAAGCCTTAAGCCTCCCCCCATAAAGCACGACAGATGCGACTGCAGCTTGGACTGAAAATACACATTAAAATTACAAAAAGTCATCAATTTGTTCCTCTGATTCTTTCTCCAAAACCTTCATCTAATCTTTTTTATATAAAAATTAAAATTGGGCTTGAGCTGTGTTTCTTTCTATGTTTTCATTTCACCGGAAAACCCGGACATTTTTAAAAGTTTTTGAACGTTTATGAATGTTTTTTTAGTAAATTAGTTTATGAGAAAAAGGAAATCACAGGGACATGCTATTAGTAACCATAGATAGGCACTCAAGAAAAAAAAGACTACCGATATTATCCAGAGAGAAAAAAGGGGAGTACCTATGTTTGTATGGAAAAATGGCCCTGGTGTTTCCTCTTATTAGATTAAACACTTTAGAAAATAATACAAAACAGTTGTATAGATGTCGTGCCCTGCGTGCCCAAATAAATGTGGTTACCACGAGTTTACGTTAGGTGTCCTCGCTAGCAAGTACGTAAAAAATGACATTAAATGCATGACAGATCTACTTTCAAGAATTAAAATATTCATAGATTTTTTTTGACGTACTTGCTATCGAGCACAGGCACACCTAACGTAAACTCATGGTAAGCACACTGCACGCAGGTAGATTTAAGGCTTCCACAGACCAAACGCGGGTCAGAAGCAGTGCGGGTCAGTTGCAGCGCGGCTGAGGCACACTAAAAGCAAAAGCAGGCAACTAAGTATTTTTTTTTATGTATGTCTTTGTTTCCTGAATCTGTTGTTGTCAAAATAAAATTATTGTCTTTCTTTCTTTCTTTCTTTCTTTCTTTCTTTCAGTTTCAAAGCAGTTGCAACGCGGGCGGTTGTCAAAAATTTAAATATTCGAAAACCGCTTTCAACGCGCTGCTACCGCCTTGTGTGCGGTGTGTCATGCTAATATGGCCGCCATAGTAATACAAAAAATAGGGCCCGCGTTTGCGCCGCTTCTGTCCCGCACCCGCGCCGCCTCGTTTGTCGTTTGGCAGTTGCAGAGTTTTGGGCTGACACAGTGTAGGTTTGTTGTCGACACGACAAAAAGAAGAAGTTGTATTGTAATAGATGCGAAAAAACTTACTTGTACCAATAGTCCTAATAATTTGATCGTGTGTGTAGTCGTTATAAGTGAGAACTTTGAACCCTAGGCTGCTGAATAGACCCTTTAAAACTTTCACGTCTTGGTCGGTACCGTTGCGGGGTTTGGGGGTCTTAAATCTGAAAAATCAAATCAAATCAAATCAAATGAAAATCATTTATTGCATAATGTAGGTACATATTATAGGTCACATAAAAATATATTGTTCAGCTACATCATACCATATCGGCATGCAACAGAATCAATTTTTCGTGATTCAAGAAATTATACAAAAGAATTAAATTAAATGTCACAATAATAATTAACAATGTCAAATTTAGTAGATAGAATTTAATATTACATTAGTATGTCAATTTGTCACATAGATTTGATAATAACAAGGTCAAACAAACAATTTATGTAGAATAATGTCTTTATATGGATCTATCCAGGAGGAATTCGCTAACTGAGTAGTATGCTTTATCAATTAAAAAGTCGTGTAGGATTTTTTTAAAAATAAATAAGTCTTCTTTATTTCTTATGGTATGTGGTAATTTATTATAAATTCGCGGTGCCATACCTGGTAAGTTTTTTGTAAACAATGCTGTTTTGTGTTCAGTTGTTATTCAGTTAGCCCTAACCCCTTACCAGGTTATGTTCTAATTCCAAATCACCCTGTATATTAGCAGGATTAGGAAGGATATTAGTAGGATAGTATTGTTTGTAATTAGTCGGCCGTTTGGTGTAGTGGTTCAGAAAGGACTACTATGCCGAGTCCCAAATTCGATTCCCGGCCGGGTAGAAATTGAAATGATGAATTGTAATTTCTGTGACGGGTCTGGGTGTTACTATGTATCGTTTCAGCCAAATGATACTACTATGTATCAAAAATTAAAAAAGACCACTAGTGGCACTTTTGTAATTACGTATTACGTATAATATGTATGTATTTAAAAAGAAGTACGAGTAGGTATATGTAGTATATCCGTTAAGCTAGCACCCATAATACAAGCATAAAGTTGTTACTTTAAGGCTAGCTGGCGCTGTGTGAAATTGTCCAAAGATTTATTTATTAAATTGGTTTATGGTCATTGGGTTTGAAAAAAAAAACTTACCTGAAATATCTAGTGCACTGGTACTTGAAATGGTTGAAAATGAGAAGGTACTTTTCACCGGACATGTCGTAATATAAAGACTCCGGGGAATACTGTGCCCCCCTTCGATGTGGACTGGGCTCCTCAACAGTGGGCTCTACATTCCTGAAAAGACACATCGTAAACCGATTAGCCCACAGTCACAAATTTTTGTACAAATCCACCAGCTCGCACTAAGCCTTTCGATGACTCTTTTATAATGCGAATAGCTAGGGACTGGAATTCGTTGCCTGCTGCTGTCTTTCCCGAAAACTATAATCCGGGCCTTTTCAAGTGAATAGGCACTTACAGGGCAGATATGTACCATCCTAGACTGCATCCCACTTAACATCAGGTGCGATTGTGGTCAAATACCTGCCTTGTTATGCATAAAAAAAATCAAATAGTTTATTCAGTACATAGGCCCTTTCCAGGGCGCTTATACACGTCCCAAATATAGCTTGCCCTACCACCACTCCGAGAAAACATAATATGGGCTAGTTATTAAATTTTTTGAACGATTAATTTTACATTTTCCTGCTTTACTTTATAAACATAACATTAAGGCCGAGTTACACCACTTTATTTTAACCGTAACTGTAGGTAACCATAACCTGATTTTGTAAAAAAAAGACCTAGTTTTGACGTTTAAAAACTCAGTAAAACTACTTTTTTACCCGACTGCGCCAGAAGGAGGGTTATGTTTTTCGACAAATAAAGGTACTTACTGACTGCTGTTACCAGGTTTCGAGTTGAAAAACTTGATGTCTGGCTCACTGGCGTCCATGTTTTTGATGCGGTCCCAAATAATGTTATTTTGTTCGGCCGCAAATCCATACTGATAAGTCGCCATCGTCTGACGGCGATGATAAGAGCTTATCTATGTTGCAGTCAAAACTCATAATCGGTCAAAACCACTTTTGACTGCAAAAATGAGTCAAAAGTGGTTTTGACTGATGCCTTTTTGGTCAATATCACTTTTGACTGATTGTTCCAGTCAAGTGGTTTTGACTAAGCGCGTTAGTCTAAGATAATACAGAAAGCTAAAAAACAAAATTAGTGAACATCATATCAACCTGCAACAAAACGTTAAATTAGGTCAACCGATTTTCAGCTTAGACTGTAATACCACTGTTAGGTACTTTTCAAAATTGGTTGAGGAAATAATTTGTAACTTTGTGGTAGGTTGATAAACCATTGACTGTAATAAACATGTTTTGTTAAATCGTTGCTTACCTTTTATGTTTAATGAGGATCATTGCAGTTCAAGAAAATTAAATAAGAGTTGAAAATGACTTGCCGGCCCCTCTAGGTATAGTATTTAAATTCAATATAATATTGAAAAAATGAAAAAATACGTGTCCAATATTTTTTTATTATCTGTCTGACGGACTAAATAGAATTTCGATTTCATTACCCAGTCATCATCCTAATTCATTGGATATTGGTGTCAACTACTGTCAACTACCTACCCAATTGCATAGGTAGGTACCTTTTCATACTTCTTCTCGTGTATTTGTTTGCAAACTATTACTATAATAACGTACAACTACATAACTATACGTGGATATCTATTACTGTCTTTCCTCCGTAGTATTAAAAGTTAACTGGTTCAACGTATTGTAAATAATTTAAAAAATACTACGTAAGTAAAATTTTGTGCATAAATGTTAGTGTACATAAAGTATTTATATGATAGGTATTTAAATTTTTGTATATATTAAAACAAAATAAAAAGAAAAAAAAAAGCAATAAGAGGGAAAAAAGTTAAAAAAAAAAACAAAAATAATACCTAAAAAAGAAAAAAAACTACAGTAAAATGTTAACTTCATTTGTAAATTTAAAACCTTGTACATAAATAAACGTCTATAAAGTATGGATACTACAAGTTTGCTCGTAGACATTAGCGAGAAACTACCACCACCTGCTTTAAAAAAATACATTATTGATTTAATATTCAAGAAATTGTTTTGTTTGAAACCGAACTCCGGCAATTTCAGCCGGAGATAAAAAAAAAATATAAATAAATAAACGTAACCCAGAACAAGACGACCCTAGCGCGACGGTCGAGCGTAGGTATGCAAAGCGAAGTACATGCATGAGTTTCCTTTCTTTCTTATTCTGTGGTAATTTGGCCATAACTTCGTCAATTTTTATCGTAGATAAAAAATGATTGGACTGTATATTCTACTCGACTCTATACATATATCCGTTGTTTGGTACCCATAGTACAAGCTTTGCTTAGTTTGGGACTGGATTGCGAAGTGAATCCAGGAATATTTTTAATAAGATTGTTCATAGCATGTCAGACTTTACATTTTTGTTGCAATATAGCCCCTATTACAACTCTATAAGAGCCATACTATTGAGCCACAGTCTGAACCTTCCAGGTCCCGATTAAATTCGAATACCGCTATCACGGATTACGTCATTTTGACTAATTATTTTAAAGTATCGTGGCAGAAATATGTCTTATCTAAATTAAATCGAAAGTAAAAATATTTACTTAAATAATGATCTCTTATCGACTTTCAACTCATTTTTAGGATTCCGTACCCAAAGAATAAAACCGGCTGAGAAACCCTTTACGAAAATGTTTTTTTAAAATTTAAGTTATTTGTATGAAATTACGCGGTAATAAGCGGTTTACGATTTACGAGGTATTAAAAAAAACTACTTACCAGATCTCGTTCAAAACAAATTTCGTTGGTAGTTTTTATAGTAATGTACATCATTTTTGTTTTTTTTTTTAGATTTTTCCTTTTCTTATTTTAGAAGTTAAAGGGGGGGCAACTTTTTTCCACTTTGGAAGCGTCTGTAACGCAAACTATTCGGTTTGGAAAAAAAAAATTTTAGAAACCTCGATATCATTTTTGAAGACCTATCCATAGACAGTACACGTATGTTTGATGAAAAAAAATTTGAGTTTCAGTTCTAAGTATGGGGAGCCACCAATATTTATTATTATTTTTTTATATTTGCATCAAAATCTTAATGCGGTTCACAGNCTCCCCAGCGGTTCACAGACCTAACCTAACCTACCAAGTTTCAACAGAATAGCTCTTATAGTTTCGGAAAAAAATGGCTATGACATACGGACGGACAGACGGACAGACAGACATGACGAATCTACACCACAAAATTTTTATCACCGAAAAAAAAATTCTGGTCCTCCTAAAATTGGTAATTTATGGACACACGCGTCGCTAGCACTATTTACGTACGATAATGTAACACTTAATAGAATTCAAAATGGTCTAAGTTAGCTAAGTATGTAATAATAACACTGGAAGCGTTGTCGAGGCGTGAGCGAGACAGACAGATCGATGCAACGTGCGAGCGGGTACGACTACTCTAGCGAGCAGCGGAGTGACAAAGCTGTGACGCGTAAAATACGGACTAAAGAAAATTTAATAAAAAATATAAATTTATGAAAAACATTTCTTTTTCTTTTGCTTTAAATATTTAACACGTTTCTACATAACCTGTTAAAATTTTTTCGGTGATAAAAATTTAGTGGTGTATAAGGGTTCCGTTTTTTGCCATTTGGCTACGGAACCCTAAAAAGTACAAATAAACTCCAAACGCAGCAATTATAGCGAGATACTTAGGCAAAGCTGATTTATTTTCACTTTAAAAAAAAAAAAATTTTTGTGTCCTTATGCGCTTCATTTTTTTTTATATTTTTTAGGGATAGTGCATTAGTAGAGCTACCTCCCCTATCAGTTTGATTCACCCATTCTGGGACACCCTGTATAAGGTAAGAACAATAGGACATCAGATATGTGATTTATTTTGCTCGAAAACCTTAAGGAACAATTTATTTACATACTTACAAGTTTGTACAGATCCCACGGTGCGCGAGTCCGACTCGCACTTGGCCGTTTTTTTAGGGTTCCGTAGCCAAATGGCAAAAAACGGAACCCTTATAGATTCGTCATGTCTGTCTGTCCGTCCGTCCGTCCGTTTGTCCGTCCGTATGTCACAGCCATTTTTTTCCGAAACTATAAGAGCTATACTGTTGTATCTAGAGATGAAACGGATAGTTGTTTGGCCGGATACCGGATACCGGATATCCGGCCAGCTGCTAGGCCGGATAGCCGGATATCCGGCGGCCGGATAGTTAGCCCATTGTCTCGTTTCATGTCGTGATGAGTTTAGCGCCGCACAGGTGCTTCGAACGCGATCAGTGGGTCTATTAGTAGACTTTTCGAAAATCGAATCCGTCCGAATAGAATTCGGGCGATTTCGGTTGCTATCGTGAGTGTGTGATTGAATAGCGAAAATTAAATTAGTTTACTTGCTGCGTAATTTGACTGAACTGCATGGCATGCATCATGTCATCAGACCATCAGTGAAAAAAAAGATCGCCTTTTTTATTTGGCAATATTTCGACATTACAGATTATTTACTATTTATGTATTCGTCATTAGAGTGAACAGCCCAGAAAAAGAAATCAGTTTTTTGAAAGGCCTTAATATAGCTTTTTTGTAACTTTTTAGACTTTAAATAATAGCCGTCATTATTATAAGCCATTTTATTGATATTTACCTCAAAGATTAATGTATTTCATTTCATTATTGGAAATTGTCGTAGTTTTTTAATATCCGGTATCCGGCCGGATAGTAAAATTAGGCCGGATATCCGGCCTACCGGATAGTTACCGGATATCCGTTTCATCTCTAGTTGTATCTATGGATAGGTCTTCAAAAATGATATCGAGGTTTCTAAAATACTTTTTTTCTAAACCGAATAGTTTGCGTGACAGACGCTTCCAAAGTGGAAAAAAGTTGGTCCCCCCCCTCTAATTTCTAAAATAAAAAATCTAAAAAAGAAAACATATGATGTACAGTCACGGAATGAAAAGGTTCGTCAGTTTTCAAATTGATTCCTTCAACGAATCGCGAGCACATATTACCTTTTGAAACTATGTTACAGAATAATCTCGAGTTAGAGAAAATAATCTTTAACTGTTCGTCAGTAAAGTTCAAAATTATTCAGATCAAAGTCGTTTGACCATTTATCTTGTCAAGAAGATTATTATGATGGATAAACTAAAACCTTCTTGTTGGTTCAACCTGCCATTATTATTTCTATTAAATAAAAAAAACTATTGGCAATTGGTCAATGTCATCATTGCATTGCACTGATGGTATAGAAAAATAAACAAGCAAAACCTTATTCGTTAGCAAACGTCATATTTATTTAAATGTTAGCAGCACTGTTTCTTGCACTGTTATGTTGGCAGGTTTGACTCTTACAGTACCTAGTGCAAGCGAAAACCGACACTAAGGTGACGAACCTTTTCATTCCGCGACTGTACATTACTATAAAAACTACCAACGAAAATTGTTTTGAACGAGATCTAGTAAGTAGTTTTTTTTTAACACCTCGTAAATCGTAAACCGCTTATTACCGCGTAATCTAAATACAAATAACTTAAATTAAAAAAAAAAAAATCATAAATCAATGGTACGGAACCCTTTGTGCATGAGTCCGACACGCACTTTTTGTATACTTACTCAATCTCGGGAATCTTCGCGGGGAGAACTGCTCATGATATTATGTTCCCACTTAAAACTTCCTGCTTTATTTTCCCAGTGCAGTTGAGTCGAGAATTTTCTAAATTGCCGCATGGCGGACTGAAAAAAGAAAACTATTATGCAAGAGGAGAATGTTGTGATGAAATTCCTGTGGATATTGCTATATGATCGGTAAATCGCATATAGGATTTTGTGCGCAAATAGGATAGATAACAACTGTCTACAGTATTTTTGCGCACGGGTTATGCATAGCTTATTTTTGTTGCTTTAATACCTAGAAATAAGAATAACAACAAAAAAATATTCTGAATTTGATTTTATGTGTAAAAAA